ATTTGAGAACATTTAATAAAATTTTTTAATATTAAAAATTTTTGATTTTCTAATACTGAGAACATTAAAAAATTTTTTGAGAACATTAAAATTTTAAAAAATGTTTTTTTGAGAACATAAAATCAATTTTGAATTTTAAACACTGACCACGTGACGCTAATTGTCACATGCTTTTACTTATAAAAGATCAACATTAATTTTGATTTTTTATAAGTAATAGCATGTGACAATTAGCATCACGTGGTTGCGTCAACCATCACTACCTGTAACCTGTTTGATTATTTATGTACTCTCCGTACATGGTTGGAGTTAAATTGTTACATTGCCTATAAGTGTTTATCTGTCCTCCCTTTCAACCGTTACAACAGACAAAATAACTGTTTAGCCAAAAAACAACTTCGGCTACCAGAAATAATTAAATTATTTTCGGCAGCTAAAATTATTTTACAGCCAAAATTATTTGGAATTTAGGCATTTTGAAGTGATATGACGGAAACATAAAGAATATCGGCAAGTTGTAATATCGTAATGCCGTAAATTATCCCGAATTTAGGCACCCATGTACGTATAGTGCAGGATTCTTAGTGTGTATTAAGCTAACCTACCCCTGCGACAATTCACACTTTATCACTAATCGTATTTTATCACCTACAACTTGCCTTATTTTCATAAAATAACGCCAACCTGCGCGATATTTTGAGTTATTTATAGTACACACATAGGCGTACTTTTGAGACAAAGATAAAATTCTCCCAAACATGTCAGTTATATCAAAATTATTTTTTGGAATCCAAATGTGGAATGCGCCTATCAAGCTATTTTGCATCTTAGTGAGACTGCATTTCATATTGAAATGCAAGCCAAGAACAATGTATGCAAATTTACGCCAATTAAACAATAAAATACTAGTATTTTCATATAGTATGTGTGCTCTGTTCTTAAGTAGATTAAAAAAAACCAGAGCGCAGAATCTATGATCCAGCTTTATCTGGGATCGACAGAGATGCGTTAACGCAAATTGATAAATTCTAACTATACATAGGTACAATAGAATAAATCTTTATGCATCATTATTCATATTTTTGAATTCTAAAATGTAAAAGCAACTGAAGATAATGTATAAAAGAAATTGACTGTCTAACAATGAAATCGATTCTATAAACCGTGATTTTAAATCCTAGTATATATAAGCGAATAAAATTTTTGATATTTGTCCATATAAATAATCCATGTAACATAGCTGCCGAAGCACTGAATTGTATGACCAAGTAATTATATTATGGAAAGTACAAAAGAAGGATGTATTAAAAATATCTTGTTAATCGGAAAAACTGGGCATGGAAAATCCACAATAGCCAACGTATTAACGAATACAAATGACTTTAAAGAAAGCAACAATGCTAACAGTGAAACTAAAAATTTACAAGCAGCGGAATTTGAATATGATGGAGTGAAATATCGCGTAGTCGACACGATAGGAATTGACGATACAGACTTGCCACAAGAACAAGTATTGTGCCGAATATTAGAAGGTGCAGCTTACTATATTGAGGAAGGATTGGATTATATTTTTTTTGTACTCAATTCTACTGTTAAGTTCACTAAAGAAGAGAAAGGAGTTTATAAATTATTGGAAGGAGAAACAATTTTTGGCGAAAAGTTAGGAGATTATACAACTATTATAATGACAAGATATTCCGAATTCAAATCCCCTGAAAAATGCGAAGAATATAAACAGTCGTTGAATGGCAATAAATTTGCATCAGAAATAACCATAAAATGTGAAGATGTTATTTTTATTGACAATGGTAGGCCTGAAGAAAGAGAAGAGTCAAGAAGTATATTGCTGAATTACTTGATAGCTTGTAAAAAAAAAGATAGTTATAAACCTAATGGATCGCTTGCTGATTTCTGTAAAATAGTTAATGAATTTGACTTGCTTATTGAAGAAATGAGCGAAGAAAATATTAAGTTATTTGAAGTCTTTAAAAATTTGGAGAAAATGTTGCCAAATCTCGAAAACAATCGTAAAAAGACAATAGATTGTATTGAAACGAATAAGAAGAAATTAAGCAAAGAGCTAATAAACCTAAGCAACAAAGATGCTAATAACACAATTTTAAGCGGATTTGGTACTTTTCTTGCATATTCTGGTGTCGGATTCGGTGTTTTTGGAGCAGCAGCTGCAAATACGGCCGCATTAACTGCTATTGCTTCATCTCCTATTAGTTTGTTAATAGTAATAGCCCCAATAATTCCTTTATGGGTGTCTAGTTTTTTAAATATTCATAATAGCAATTTAGCCAATTCGAAGGAAAAGAAACTTCATAAAGAATTCAATGATATTATGAATGAAGATTATGAAGGAATTAAGAAGTTTATAGTTAATTTAAATGAACTAAATAAAATTCGTGAAGATCTTGAAGATATTGTCGAACGTTTTAAAGCCTCACAATACAAAAAAGAAGAAATAGACAAAAATAAAATTAAAAAATTCAACGACATCATAACAGAAAATTTTAAAGTAAAAGAACTTAAAGAAAAAGTATATGATTATTCCAATTTCAGTACCATTGAATATATTAAAGATGATTTTTTAAGAATTTTAGGGTACTTTAAATTGGTTTTACCTTATTTTAATGTTAGAGAATTAAGAATGCTTTACAACAAAGTTCATAATTCTCAACGTGTTACAGAAGAAGAGGTTAGCAAAAAAACGTTTTGTAAAAAAACCTTTAGTGATATGGAAAATATCACAAAATCATTAGAAGAAGGTTTGAGTTATATTAAAGAATTACGTTCAAATATAGACGATAAGATTGAAAAATGTAACAAAGCTAAAGAGGATATAGGAAGTATTTTAAAGCACAAAAATTAGATAGTTTACAAGACCAAAATCAGAAATTGGATAGTTTACAAAGGAAAAAATTGAATAGTTTACAAGACCAAAAATTGGATAGTTTGCAAAATCAAAAATTGGGTAATTTACAAGATCAAAAATTTGATAATCTACAAGAAATGCAAAATTATCAATTCGATATTGAATTTGCCCCTTTTGACGAAACGAAGCTAACTTTATATAATGAATATAAAATATAAATCTGAACGATATAGCAAATTCATTATATTGTTATATTATTAATTTGACACCTTCGATACATATGTATTTTTTTACTTTTATATCAATAAAATATATAATTTTTTATTTAAAAAAATTATAAATAGTTTAATATTTTTGTTTTCTTACTAAGGCAATTAATTTTTATTAGGTTTTTGCTATGGGTTAGTATACTGAACAGTTGGTGCGTATCAGTAAAAACTTTATTTCTGTTTATATAAATAACAGAAGAGTCCGTCCGTCGCACTAGTCCAGTGAGTATTTTTATGTCATATGAACAAGCGTGAAATGAATATAATAATAATGCAGGAAGTATGTGAATGGAGTTTGTGAGTATTAGTATCGATTGTTTAAGCTCAGGATTAGTGAGAGGAAAGATTACGGAGTGTACGCAAATTAAAAATCATGTGACGATAATTAAAACTCTTATATAAATTTACGTATAATTTAGATGTAAATTAAAATAACGTAAATAACATAAAATATAAAGAATATAAAATAATACTACAATACTACAAACTTAAAAAAAATGCAAAAAATATAAAGAATATAAAAAAAAATATAAATAATATAAAAAAAAAATATGCAAAAAATATAAAGAATATAAAATAGAACTACAATACTATAAACTTAAATTAATGTTACAAATTTAAATACAAAAATAAAGCTATCTTATCTAATCGGTTTATTTAATTTCTTTAAAAGAGCAATCGCTCTTTGATTACTACTATTGGCAGCTAATCTTAAATAATTTAACCCACGCTCTTCATCCTTTCTCACTTTAAGCTTTCCAGCAACATAAATATCACCCAAATAATACAATGCATCAATATTTTGGATTGGATTGTTAGCTGCTAATTCAAAATAACGTAATATTTCTTTGCGTAATTCATCTTTCTTAGTTTCATTATTTTCTTTACTAAGGTCATCAAGCAATAAAACTGCATATCTACATTGTGATTCAGAATGATTATGCTCATCAGCAGCTTCTTTAAAAAGCATCTTTGCTCGATTTGAATTTTTTTCTCCATAATGACCGTAAAGTGAATAATATCCTAACCAGAATTTTGCCAATGGGTTATTAAGATCAGCATTGTGTTTAAAACATTCCCATGCATCCTTATATTCTTTTTTTTTATGCATCTTAATACCTTCTTCAAGAGATACAAGAGCAGGAGGTTCTTCTGTGAATTCATCAGGAATTTCAACATCATCAAATTCTGGTAAAGATTCAGACTTCTGACCATCAAGATCTAGTACTTTATTTTTAAATAGTGTTGGTGCATCAAGAGGAATTGGGAATTTATTGGCTAGTCCTTCAAGTCTTAGCCTTAATGTAGGAATAGTTATTCGTAATTCAGGTTGTTGAGGCCACGCTTTTCATCAATTAAGTAAACAAAAAGTAATTTGAAAGTAAATAATTACAGTAAGCATAACCTATAAAAATAAAATTAATTATCTAGATATAATTACCATCTTGTATGATTTTAATAAATTCTAGTTGAATTTCTTTATCATGAGGATTTGTAAATCTTCCTTTTAAAACCTTTTCTCGATCACCCCTCAAAACATGATCAGATATTTGTTTAATATTCCAACTAGCATAAGGCAACTTTTCATAACAAAGTTCCCATAAGAGCATTCCAAAGCTAATTGAGAAGAATGGTTAAAAAAAAAAAAAAAAGTATACAAAAAAATAAACAAAGTTTAAATATTCATATTTTGTAATTACCTGAACATTTCACAATTAAATGTATATACTTTTTTGTTTCCATAATTACTTTGACTAATATATTTTTTGATTAACTCAGGAGCCATCCAACGAACAATATATGTTGCCAATTGTGAAAGATTTCTAGAATGTTCATCAACTTCACGTGCACATCCGAAATTTCCAAGTTTTACACTCAAATCTCTTAATACCTATAATTTAATGTTAGTAATCATTATTTTTAACCATACTATAATTATTTAATTATACTTACAAAAACGTTTTCACACCTAAGATCATGATGAAAAACATTTACAGCACGTAAAAATAAAAGGCCAAGAAGTATATCTTTGGCAATTTGTATTTTTCTAGTCCAAGGAATGTCATATTCCTCATAAAGTTCCTTTAAACTTCCATGTTCGGCCCATTCGAAAATCATAACTCTTTTGTTATCAATTTCTGAATGTCCATAAAATTTGAGGATTTGAGGTGATAAACCTAATTTCTTAATGATGGCCAATTCTGGTTCATTTTGGCCATCAATAGGTTTACATGCAACTTCTATGAATGACTTATAAATCTTTTTAAAAACTCTGCCTTGATTAACATGAGTTTGAGGGTCAGTGAGTTCACTTGAATCAATCTTATTCGCATCACCTTGTTTAGTCATTTGCATGTAGACTATACGTTGAGCTACTGCATCAATTTTATCTCTCACTTGTTTGAAAGACTAAAAATGGATGAAGTTAATATGATGCGTAAAATTATTATATTTCAGAACAATAAAACTTACTTCATCAACTTTATCTCCAACTTGTTTGACAGACTAAGTTAATAATCATAAAATTTTATGTTAAGATGATAAGATTATTATATTTATTAATTACTAAACCTAATTAATCCTTAAAATTGATAAAATAAGATTAATATTATATTTCTTATTAATAAAAGAAATAAACTTACTTCATCAATTTTGTTGTCGAGTTGTTTGAGAGTCTAAAATGGATAATTATATAAAATTAATCTAATAAAGTTACTATGCTTCTGAATAATTAAACTTACTTCATCGACTTCTTTTAAAGCTTTATCCACTCTTTCAGATTCTTCTTTTCTATCAATACCGTTAGAAACATCAATGGCAAAGTGCAAATCACCCCTACATTTATCAAATTCATCTATTAATTGCTCAAATTTCTTTTTAACATCAGTTGCTTGAAAAAATTTTTTATAGCCTTTAAGCTTTGATACGCTGTTGGTAAATTCTTTAATCTGTGTTAAATTATTTTTAAATTTTTCAAAAGCCAAAAAATAAGATTTTTTACGTAAATCTTCTTGTTTCTTTTCTGTACTTCTAATTATTATATCAATAGAATATTTGGCAGCTTCTACTCGATTAACCATAATCAGGCAAAGTTCTTTATTACATTCTGCATTCTCATAAATTTGATAAATATCTTTAACTAATCGTCTCACTAAATCGATTACAGGATTATAAATGGCCAATATATCAGTAGCAGCATCAAAAAATTCGGCTGCCATTGTTGGAATATGATTGTAATTAAAAGTTTAAGCGCGAACGTACAAAACTTTAATCAATTCTAATTAACAAATCTTTTATTAAATTTGCTACGTATACACAATATACCTTTATAAAGAATTGTGTTACTGTTTATCATTGTACAAATGCTAAATAGTAATAACGATAAAAATGTATTTTGGTGTACAATATGTTACGTATTTAGAACAAAGTTTAACGTTATTAGAGGCTACATTTTAAGAAAAAGCATCTATTGATCCAATACGCTGATGTATATTTGTATTCGTGAAATTATAACTTTGTTAGATAAATACAATTGCATTTATTTGTGAATGATATAAAAAATAGCTTATCTCTACACAAACGCAAAACGGAGCGTTAAAATATTCCTTTAAAATATCTGGAATTAAATTTTGTGCAGGAACTCATTTATTTTCTTTATTTAAAAGTCTTGAATCCTAATCCAATTCTAATATTCTAACTAAAAAAACTCTATTTTATGCTATGCTTTGCCTTGTATCACTCACAGAAATAGATGTCTAATATAAGGTCCATTTCAATCGTTTGTGCATTACAAAGTGAAACTTGTAACTGCACTTTACTTAATGCAGGTTTACTAATTTCCCCATTCCCATTGGACAAATACAAACATAAGTACGAAACCATTTACATCACTAATCAGAGTGCTAAAAATTACATATAAACATCTAATATGCTGCAATTAAAAAATAAATTACTTTCTCAAATATTATTTTGCAATGATTATATATAGGTGGAGTTGTCGCTTTCAAATAAAAAAAATTGGAAAAGTTTGGCGGAATTAACCAAAACTATTTTCTTTTTTTTAAAAAATTGATTTTTTTTCACTGTTTAATACTAACGTTTTGCTCTTTTGATATTTACACGTTCAAGTTTTTTAGCAGATAATTTCGTAAATAAGGGTGTTTTCAAGCGCCTTAATCAATGGGGTAAAAAGCGTCGGGAAATAAAATTTATTAAGCGGAAAATAGTTTAAATTAATCAAGCGTGTTTATCATTAAGATGAATATGCATAATTGATAAAGCTTATTACGTA